GCGCCCCCGGCCCCCCCCGCCCCGCCCCCCCCCCCCCCCCCCCCCCCCCCCCCCCCCCCCCCCCCCCCCCCCCCCCCCCCCCCCCCCCCCCCCCCCCCCCCCCCCCCGGGGGGGTTGGCACAGGGAAGAGACTTTAGCAAAGTACTTACGTTTAACCGCAGCTGGACTGCTCTCCACGCTGAGTAGGACGGCCATCACGGCGTCTGCGATGCCATCATTGAGCATGTTACCTTCCCATTCCAGCTCGAGCTCACCGCTGCCGAAATAGCGAACCGTGACACAGCCCATGACAAGGTATGCCGCGACTAAGGTGTCCGAGTTCTCTCCGGTTGCTGTAGAGTGGCCATTTGGACCGTCCGGGTCCGCCTTGATCTTTGGCAGCTCTTCGATACTGCCAAAGGTTCCTTCCAGGCCCCATTTAATCAGATCAACACCCGCGGCGCTTAGTCTAAGCCGTTGCGTGCAAGCTATTGTCGTAGTCGTAAGCCCCGCGTACTCTCGGAGGTCGTCCGCTGCCATCAACGACATCTTGAAGTCATTCTGAACCAGAACCCCTGTGATGAGCTGCGGTTCGCGACTGTCTCGTTCCGATGTTTGGGTCGGCGGAGGGATGGAAGCAAGCTTTCCAACAACCTTGGCCGTCTTGTCGGCTTTGAATGGAATCCGGAGTTCCTCGCAGTTTCTGGGGCTGTAGACCTTGACCTTGTTGGTCTTTGCCGCATTCAGTGACAGGAGCTTGGACTTCAGCCTCATCATGTTGTGCTGCTCTCCGTGGACAAGAATCTATGACTGTTAGCTTTTGAGTGACGCGAGTATCAAGGCCTGCAACTTTACGTACCACGACTGGAGCTGCAACCTCTTCGATGAACTCCCGATTCTCCACGCCGTCCACATGGGCAGCGAACGAGTACTCGGCAACGCTGCAGCGACGGGGTATCAATACTTTCTCGTTGTCGCCGCCAGGGGCTCGTCTTGCGCCACCCAAGTTTCGCGACATGACTGCCTGGATATGGTCAGGTTCCTGCATGATCTGTTTTGCCATGGTGCCCTCGACGCTGTAGCCGGTGATGATGACCCCGTTCTTCTCGTTGGGCGCCCACCTCTCCAGAAGTTCCCGGCTAACACCGTTCTGCAGCATACCGGGGCTAGCCAGCATCACGCAACTGCCGACGTCGTCGAATCTATCGAGGTTCTTCAACGATCGGATATACTTGAAGTCCCAGGGGCCACCTTTCCCAGCGACATCGCCCGTTGCTTCAGCCTCGGCCATGCGCTCTCGGAATAACCTCTTGATGTTGTCGTTCATGGCCCCGACGTATGTCTGGTAGACAAGCATGCACTTTCTGGCGAGGTTACTGGCATAGTATATGGGGATCTTTTTGAACTCTTGGTGCTTGCCCCAGTATTCGTCGAGGATGAGAAGCAGTTCCTGCGCTCTGCCCAGGGCAAAGACAGGCATTAGGACACGGCCACCCCTGTTAAGGATGCTGGTAATCGACTTCATAAGTGCCTGCTCGCGCTCGAGCCGAGGGACGTGAGATGCAATGCCATATGTAGACTCGGTGATCAGGACATCGATCTTCACACCTCTTGGGACTTCGGCAGATACGAGATGTCTGTCCTGTTCCCGTGAGTAGTCGCCCGTGAAGAAGATATTGAGACCTGCGATCTCGATGAGGAACATGGCTGCACCGAGGACATGGCCTGCGGGGTATGGGGTGATTCGAATGGACGAGATGGTATGGGTCGTATGGTAGTCGATAGCCTCGATCTGGGGGAAGGTGTTGAGATGATCCTGCTCCGTATAGACCGGCTGTGATGTTGGGTTCGAGGATGTGTTGCCGACTCGCACGCTGTCCTGGATGAGCCACTTATAGATGGCCTTTGTCGGGTGTGTCATGAAGACTCGTCCCCGGAAATTTGTCTTCGCCAACACGTACGGGAGAGACGCCGCATGGTCAACATGGAAGCTTTGGGCATGTCAGTAAACGCGCGTCCAATGTTACCCCGGCGAGCAGAGAACCCGGCTAATCTACATGCGGCCTGAAGCGTCTTTACGAAACTCATACAGATACGGAGACATGGATTGGCATAAGTGGGCTCTGGTTGACAAGATATTGTATTTGTTTCTGCGTACATATGCCGGTTGTCTCCGTAGCTAGGACGTAACAGGGGGACGAGGCAAAGGCAGTCGTTTGCAAGTCATATAATGCAACATGTAAAGCCCACCTATACCATGTATGCCCGTATGCCCCGAAAGCCAAGACGCCGCAACCGAAGGGTGTTTTTTTGGTGTCCAACAGAGAAACAAACAAACAGGGGATATTACTTACTGGCTGATAAGAAGAACATCGACAGTACTGAGGTCAAAGTCGTCAAAGAATGGGAGCGCGGCGAGGCCGTCATATGCAGGGTGTTGGCCCGCATCAAGCTGGACGCGTTCAAGTTAACAGACGATTCTTACTAGCCAGGAGGCAAGTGGTACATACCATGACTGTCTTGCCTTTATACTGTATGATATGACAGGACCTCCCAACCTCGTTGCCCCCGCCAAGGCAAAGAAACATGAGTTCGTCAGCGGGATCTACAGGCTCCTCGGGGGCTGCCGAGGCCATCGTAGAAGCCTTCCGCTTGGACGCCATGGCTGGGAATCTGGTAAAGAGCTCGGTGCGAGCGAGAATGCCAGGAGAGGGGAGTAACGATGCCACGCCTCACATGTGCCTCTAATGATCTAGATATGGAAGCTTTTCTCTTGTACGGATGATTTTATTCTCCCTTGCGAGGTACCTAGGTATTTGTGAGGATGACGTTGAAGGATAGAGTAAGGTCAAAGGTAAAGGCGCGCCAGAATGCGGCTCTGCGCGGAAATATCAAATACGCACGGATCATCCGCTGCGACACGTGACTTCGCGCCCGCTTGACTCTTGATTTCCTCCAACAATAGAAGCCATTCACTTATTGACTTATTGAGCCCCCTCGCTATTATTGACAAGAGGTCCCAGACTCCCTGCCTATTGTGCTATCCTGTGTGGTAGGCAACAATACTGACAACCGTTATCAATAATACGACCGGCACACACAATAGGTTGTCCTGAACAGCCCACACACCTCATGGGAGACCAAACGGAAGCTTGACCTCCACAGGCTCGCCAGCCTGGGTCGAACTCGACCCTGAACAACCTACCTCTCAACCACACTTTCCGCGCCGAAGTTTTCATTTCGATCTCCTGAGTAGCCGCTTTTCTCACAGAAGCCTTGCGATTGCCGCAACTTGATCATCAATCATGGCGCAGTCTCCCCAGCACGCTCCGCAGATGCCTCCGCAGCAGCAGATACCTCATCAGCAGCCGACGCCCCAACAGCAGCCGATGGCCCAGCAGCAGCAGGTGCCTCAGAAGCAGCAGCAGATGTCCCCTCAGCAACATCAGCAGCAGATCCCAACTCAGCAGCATCAGCAGATGCGTCCTCAGCAGCAGCAGCAGATCCCGACTCAGCAGCAGCAGATGCGTCCCCAGCAACAGATGCCTCAGCAGATGCCTGCTCAGCCCTTCCCTCCTGAGCACTCACCCTCGCCGACCCCCAATCCGTCGGGCTTTACGATGCCTCCTCAGATGCCTGCCCAAACCCACCGTGCCGAGCAGTCACCTTCGCCGGCCCCTAATCAACCGGGTTTTGCGCTGCCTCCGCAGATGCCTGCGCAAAGCTTACCTCCTGAACACTCACCTTCGCCGGGCCCCCATCAGCCGGGTTTTGCGATGCCTCCGAACAAGCGCCCTCGATTGTCCCCAGGCCCTCCGTCCCAACCTGCGTCGCCTTATCCACCCTCTCCATACGCCACGAGCCCTGGCGCCGGCGCGGCGACCCCGACCAGCGCAATGTCCCCAGCCTACCCGAACATTTCTGCGACAGGACCTCCAACATACACCACGCCGTACACAAATGGCGCAACGACACCCAGCCTACACCTACCTGAGTCTCAGCCAGCCTTCACCCCGGCTTCGTCTACTCCCATCGCTCCTGCCGGGTCACAACTGCATTATACCCCGGCCACCCTGGCCCCAATTCCTGGTCCTCCGACACCAGGGACCATGACTCCTGTTCCTGCCCCTCCCACACCGGGGACCATGGGCCCGCCATCGAAGCCTGCCGAAAAACCCGCCAAAGAATATGAATACGATGCGACGGACTCGCTTGCCGGTACCGGCATTGATATCCGCGCGGAGGAGCAGGCTCTCACGGATTACTATGCTGGACTTTTCGGGCATGACTCTCGGACAGGCTTACCTGCAAACGCGCCGGGTAGCAGGGCTTCGTTCCATGGTGCTGGAGCTGCCAATCAAGCCGGTCAAGCCACTGGTGCCCTAACCCAAGAGGAGCTCGCCGCTCAAGCGGCAGAGAGAGCCTGGTCCGAAGCAGCCCACCGACTGGCAGTCATGCGGAGCAATGAGATACGGGACCCGTTCCTGACCATGGCACTTCTACATCGCAAGGCCGAGAAGGTCTCCAGAGAAAATGGCCTATCCCTTAATATGGAAATTAAGAACCACACCCAGACGGCCGGCAAGATGAGAGGCCCGCATGATTTTCCCGAGCCCAAGGTCACCGTCACGACCAAGACTGGCCCTGACGGTGCACTCGTGGCGACGACAGGATCTTGGATTCCCCACGATGCCTATCTCATTGATCAGCTAACACTATTATCACTTGCCACGAGGCATCGGATCCGCGAGAAACTGGAAGACGGCGTCAAGGTTGCGGTCACCAGGCAGAAGACGTCGCACGGAGAAGTCCCTACTGAATGGGTCGATGCTGCAGCGCCTTTAAGCATTACAGATGTCGGTGTCACGCAGGGCGAGAGCTCTCGTGCTGGTCAGGAAAGGGCCGTGAGCCCTCGTGTCAATTCCCTCAAGCGTAAGGAAGCCAACTCCATTCGTGTTAGTGGCGTAGCTGATGATTTTGCAGGCAATTTAGATGGGTCTCCCGCTCAGGTATTGTCTACCAACCATCTGACGTCTGCGGTACGAGATGTTGGTAAAGGAGATCGTAGCATAGAGGAGGTGAGGCTGCGAAAGCGACAGAAGCGGCTCAATCCTGAGACGGCCACCAGTACATCCCGCGCAGGTTCAGCTGCTCCCGGGACCCCTGGACCGTCAGCCCCGGAGCCGGAGACCAAGGCGCCCCCCAAGAAAGAGCCAAAGAAGGCTGCGGCAGCGAGATTAGCAGAGGCATCGAGTACGGCGACCGCGAACCAGACATTGCAGCACCTCATGGGTGGCTTTGGGGGTCGCAAGAAGAAGGGCAAACAATACGCGTGGATGAACGCAGGTGCGAGCGGTGCCAGTACCCCAACTCGCGCCGGCAATCAGGACGTTCCCGGCACTCCGTTAGGCACTCCCGGCCCCAAGGCTCCCGAGAAGACAAGTCTGACCCAAGATGGACTGAACCGACTCGGAAACTGGAGAGAGGACGGGGATAAGGGGAAGGGTATCCAATTGAGAGACTGGGTAACAGCCTTGGAACTCGATGCCATCGATGCCAAGGCAATCCAGGATGCCTACATGAAGCTCGATTCCTTCGTCAGATAACGCCCATTCAGACCAAGGGCCGGGCGCCAGCGAGAAGCCACAGGCCTAATTCTGCGCGGCCTCGCGGAGCATCCGCCGACCTACTGACTTTCCATATTGTGCTTTTTGTCGGTCTTAGCCGGGCGTTAGGAGAGGAGGGCATTTGGCTTGGGGACCGCATTCATCCACTTGTACACGGTACAAGCAGCGACGTATTAGGCATCCCCCAGGTTCGGAATCAACAGCTCTTTAATATGACACGGACCTATGGGTCCACGGTCGGTACACAACATAGGAAAATAGAGAATGATCCAAGCGATGAACCTTGCAATGTTCCTCCTGATGACCCCGTGAATGCTAGATGCAACCAGGCCCTCGAGGTTGGGTTTCGCTTGACCCGACAAGGACTACTATACTCACGTGCTACCAGAAGCCAACGAGAAAGAGGTCCGTCTGGCCAAGGTAAGCTGAACATCTCCTATTCTCGTAGACGAGGTTGGTCACCTCGGGAAGCTAAGGACAGATTCCTACTGGCGGCGCGCAGTTTTGTGGCACCCAATTCCTTGCAGCTGGCTTTTTTTTTTTTTTTTTTTTTGGGGGGGGGGGGGGGGGGGGGGGGGGGCGGCCGGCGGGGTGTGTGACGACCCCCGAACGCGGTTCACCACACATACACAAGAGC